CTCGTCGGCCTATATGCCACCCTTTCTCCGCAGAGACCCCGATCTCCTATTCCTACTCCGCCGGCTCTCTTGCGATCTCCCCAACATAAAACCCTTTCCTTTCTCCAGATCAGGAACCCATCAACAAACACCAAGCCACCCTTTCGAGCCTATTCCCCTCCAAAAACATACCTCAGTCACACTAACAAAAGAGAATGGACCGGCATCAAAGTCGCAGTCCGGCCCGAAAGGGAAAGAAACTACGCCAAATAAAGTGGGGGAATCGGATCCCACCCTCAGTGACCTGGTAACCGAGACAACACTTAAAAACCCAATGGACCCAATAGCTAAGTGTAAGGGTTGAGTCCCTTCACTGTATTCTTAGATTGGAATAGAACCTGAGATCCAGAGTGGCACTGAGGGAGACAATTCTGGAACCCAAGTTATTTTTGATTTCTAGCTCAGCAAAGAAGAATGAAGGGTTGGAGTCTGCTGAGCTGGGAATGGGGTGACCTAGGCAGGAGGCATTGAAGTACATATTCAGTGTGATTTCTGATTATGTAACATTCTTGTGAAACCTGTGAGGGTGGGTTTCACAGTTAGCTCAGAGAAAAAAAAAGGAAGGAAAATAAAACAACAAAGGAAGATGGTTGATAAAATCCTTTGCATACATGTCCTAGTAGAGATCATCAACAAAGAGTTGAAACCCACACCAAGTCAACTAAAGCTAGAGCAAAGGAGATACTCCTTGCTAAGGATGTAAAACCACAAGAGGACCAAAATGAGGCCAAGGCAGCTGGTTTCTTTGAAATGTACAATGTTCAAGTCCATAGTGAAAGAAACCCCAACCACTCCAAATTAGACCAAAGAAGTCAAAGAGGAAGTCTCACAAACTTACACAACAACAGTGGTTTTACCCCATATTTCCATAAAAACCTGCTCAAATTGAAGGGTTTGATCCCCATGACTATCCTCAACAAAACTTGGCAGGAAGAAGCCTCTCAGACACTCAAGAACAGGCCAGATCAGAGGAGTGCCTGCAGAGAAGAACCTCCACTACCATGGTCTAGCAGTTCTTCACAAGTGGTTACATTGTTTGCCAACTGGACCCTGA